GGGATCGGGAGGGCTCGTGGCAGAGCCCCCCACACAGCATGGGGCAGTGGGGGGCAGGTGGGATTGCCCCCCCTCCTGGCAGCACCCAGTGAGTCCAGGGTTTGTTTTTTCCAAAGTGCTGGGAGCTGGGGCGGGCGGGGGATGGGCCTGTCCGATTCAGAGATGCAGCAGCAGCCAAATCTCTGAATCAGATTTGGCCGAATCGATTTGGGACAGTGATTCGAATCACCAAATCGAATCACTGTCCCCTGAATTGATCAAATCCAAAGCAAACACTAGCCACTTTGCACAGGTCTACTGGAAACAAGCCAGGGGAAACATAACAGTATAGATGATGCCAACAGAGAACCTTGCACAGGTGGAAGGATGGTGAGATTCCCTATTTTGTCAGCTAGGTTGTCAAAGCAAAGTGTTCACACCTACATGGCCAATTCTGCTGTTCCTATGCCTGTTGGAACTACATCAGGCAGAAAAATGCTTCCCAGGCTTTAGAAGGTGGGAAGGAGATGTAACAGTTTGTTACTTAGAGCGGGAAGAGGAAAGAGGCAATACATACAACTCCAGTGGCAAATGCTATCTTGCAATCCCAGAAACTGCAGTACAATGCAAACATTTTAAAGTAATTTTCTAGGAGTAATTTAAATAACAGAATTGTTATTGTGGTAAAGAAGGGCAAGATTCAAGCCTGGGAAATGTGATGTACCCAGGTAAAGCTCACACAAGACGAGTATACTCCAATACTTACATTTATTAGCATGAATTCAGCCAAAACAGGGATTGTGGGACTTTTTACTGATAACCTTCTGAGTAGCACAAGTCCACTTGCAGGTTGTACTCTACAGGACGCTTTGAACCAGGATTGCTCTCACCTCAACATGCCATTGCTTTCCCAAAGCATTGACTACACGTCCCTCAATGGGCCTGCGACAGGCTCCACAGATTGGGATTCCCATCTTGTCATGACAGGGCAGGCAGTAGAGTTCCCCTTTTAGTTCCCTGGCCTCAGCAGTCAGCTCCTTCCTATAAACACACATGCATATCCTTGAAACAATACAAATGACCCAGATCCCAGCCAACCATTTTTTCCCCGATTAAACCTGATAGTTACATGAGCTTCTCCTCAGACTTAAGTATCTCTACGCTGAAGCTGTAGAAGGAGGAACCTCAAAGAAAATGTTTGTGCTTTGGCACTATTATATTCTAAATGCAGATGTGGTGAATTCTGTTAGTAAAATACTGTCACTGGCAAGCCATTTGGTGGGATGTTGGTTTCTGTCCTTTACGGACACAAAACACGTAGACAATCATGTCTTAATGAGACTACATACCCCAGCTGAAACATAATCTTATACATATACCTTTTATCCACAAGCACCAAGCTATTCTGAACAGCATGGAAATAGCTATGTCTAAATACAATTATTTTTGTAGTGACGACTGGGTCTTTGAGGCCAACTACTTGCAATGTACCACTTTCATACCCAGTAGAAAGTGGTGCCAATTAAGCAATGCATAGAACAAAGTGAAAGCTACAGAACTGAACAGAAGAACTCCAGTTCTTCTAGCTTATTGATTCCATCTCTTTTGATCTTTCATACAGAACTTCTCATTGGTGTAATAACTTAAAGACTACAAAGTTTAGTTTGAACACTGGAATCCAAAGAAAGACCACCCTAATATGCACAGGCTTCATTCCCCTTGTTTGTTGGTAGCATGAAGGAGGTGAGAACATACCCACAGTGGGTGCAGTTGAAGTGATCTGGATGGTAAGAATCATTTCTGTACATCAGAGGCTGTTCATCAATTATGAGGTGGCACTTCTGACAGATGTACTTGCCTAGTCCCTTGGCTTTCTCACGATTATGGCATGGCCTGCACAGGTGCCTGTATGAGCATCAGAAAGAAAAGGAAGCATTAGTTGGTTGGTTCTTCCAATTAGTTGGGATTGGGCTGTTATCGTGCTGATTAGGTTATGGTTTTTGCAACTAAAGTTTTACTATTTTAACTTTCTATTCTACAACATAAGCTTTAAAGCTTCACCTGATCATATTAGTGCTAACCAGGCCCTCAGAGAGCCTTGCAACTATCCTATAGAGGCATAGCAGGGTACTGCAGTGTTGATGACTGGAGAGCAGTGGGGGGAATAAAACAGAGAGCCCCAGCTCCCTCTGCACTCTGATGGTAGCTGCTCCTGCAGCCGAGAAGAAAAATCACCAGACACCAGCTGAATCAGGGGGCAGCACAATGTATGCCCTCCACCCCAACATCTGCCATAAAAGCCAGGCAGCTGTGCACCCAGTAGAATGGCATCTATTTAGCTTCCCCCACCCTACAAACACTAGCGGGTGAGGAATGGCAAAAATCCCAGGGGGCACCATTCTGCATGACCCCTCTACCAATGCAAAACTGGGGCCACAGCAAAAATGCCCAAAGAGGCTTCTGGTAACTCTTCTGAGCCAGCACCTGGGGCAAATGCCCCACTCACCCTCCCTCTAGTTATGCTACTGCTGTCTTGAAAGGGGCAGTTACACAACTAGGTATTTTTTAGTCCTCCTGCGCTTCTTTATGGGCATCCATTGCAGGGAAGAGCCTAGACTATTTTTTTAACATGCCCTGATCATATGAAACAGGCTTACAGCAGACCACTGATGACACCTAAATCACGGTGTATGAAATTCTGCTTTTGTATGGAGGAGTAAAAATGCATTGGGATCTATAGATATGTTTGTGTTGGTGTATATCCACACGTATAGCCCTCTGAATGTCTTATTAGAGTTTTTTTCTGATGGTACTCCTTCAAGGCACATCATTACACTTCCCCTATCCTGGTCAGATCATCAGTCCTCAATAGCTGAGACAGATATCATTTGAATCATGGCTCCTCCACCCAAAGCAGAAGGATAAGCAAAGGAATATGTTTTTCCATGTTCCAAATCTACAAGTTCCTTAATATGTTTCAGGCTGCATTACAAGCAGAAACCCTAAACAGGCACACAGCTGAAGTTTCTGTCACTGAAGTATATGACAAAGGGATGAAAGATATTGTTGTAGAAGCTGGCTGTTCATAGAAGAATCAAAAGATGGGAAGCAGCTGGATCAGCCAGCTTCAGGCCTTATGTTTAGAATCTTAGGTGGGATGATCTTTCATTTAGGTCACTTGTAATCTGTCCCTCCAAACATAGAGCAGTTTGCTTGAGATGAAACTTTGACAGACTGAACACATAGCAGGCAACCTGGAGAAGGATGTGTGAATATTTTCACACCACAGTAAAAGCAGACATACCTGCTTAACTCCTCTCAACTATAATCATATACAAATCTGTGATCATGATTGAGAAGCCTTCTTCCAAAAAGCCAATGGCAAGAAAAAGTGAAAAAGGAATGATTGTATGATGGAGAGGGTCAGGAGGTCTGGGTACTATTCCAGACTCTCTCACAGACCTCTTATATGGCCTCAAGTACAAGACACCTAACCATAGACTTGCTATGTACAAAACAGGGATAAGAATACAACCCTGTATCACTTGTGCATTGTTGTGAGGCATCACACTGTTACAGTACCCAGAAGGAAGATGCCTATATCAGTGCAAAGTATTATTATTCTTTCACTTTGAGTCTTCTCTTCTGTGTTAGCCTCTCTCCAGGGCTGGAGCTCCTGGTCCTCCCAGACAGAGCCAGAGTCCCCAGAAAAAGCAGACAGCGCCCCATTATAAAGGAAGCATGCAGCTGCGCTCATCCCAGGATAAAGGCATCAATTTTATTCAGCACTGTCAAATGGAGACTAATTATACAGGGCAGGACATTGGGACCCTGCAGCAAGTGTCCTGAAAGAGACCCCTCTCATTCAGCTGAATAAGAGGCCTTCAAGCCCTTTGCACTGATAAACCATTATCAACCCCTCCCCATTCACAAACCCTCTCTGCTGTCCCATAGACCCTCCTCTATTGCAAGCAAAGTAGAATCTTGGAATGGCAGAGCTGTTGCTATAGCAGCCGCCCCTCTCACCCCCACTCCCACCATTACAGAATTATTCCATTCTGAAATGTCCTGTTGTGTCTATTAATACCAGACTCCCTCCCTGCACAATGCCCCTCTCCACCCCTCTAAAAATCACAGAACTCCAAAGAGTCCCTGCAAAGGGCTGGGGGTTCAGATGGAGACTTTAATAAGTAGAACAAACACACTGAAATATTCATAAATATAACAGCAGCAGCAGCAGCAGCTCCCCCCTTCCAAAGGCTCAGCTGGAAAGAAGACAGCCTTTCACTGCAAGCGTGTTGTCTCCTCTCCCCGCTGTTACATGAGTGAGCTGATAATGCACTATCAGAGCTAGCAGGACACTATATAGAGGGGCTTGCTCTGCAACCTTTACTAAGCCTGCAATTGTTGGCTTCTTCTGGCTCGCCTCATTGTTTCCATCTATGCAGCTTCTCCTTGGCTTGCTGGCTTCAGAAGGCGCTCCTAGAGATTTTCTTCAAAAGGACTTTTTCCTCCACACTAGGACTGCACCATCCAAAAGGTAAGAGAATTGGCTTCAGTTGAAAGAATAATAGAGCAGCTTTCCCAAACACTTTAAGCTGTTGTGGCTAAGCTAGTGTGGGTGGAAGAAGCAACAGAGGCTGACACATGTAGTGTAAAGGTCAGACTAAACACAGAAAACATTTTTAGAAAAAAAAAAAGACTGATCAGAATGCAATTCTTAGTAGCCTCTCTCCCCCAATTAGAATAAACTTCCCACACTTCTCTATTAAGTCCCCATCCCCGTGAGCCCTACACATAGACAGAGACAGACAGACAGACTGACAGACATCATGAATGTCACTTCTTGATGTTATTAATTTCCCTCACGCATGAAGCACTCTCATCCAGAAGGGATTCAGCCTAGAATGATCTGACACAGGAGACTTGTTTCATCCAGAGTTGGTTTATTTTCAGGGAAAGACAAGACCCTCCTGTTGGACAAAGCATGCTCCCATGATCATTTAAAAGGGGAAAAAAATTACAAGCAGAATCTATGCTACAGAAATGATTAGGAAAGAGCAGAAAAATCTGTAGGACATGAAAAGTCTCATTATGTATTCCTAATTTCCCCAGGAACTGCTTAGACTGCACAACAAAGGACATTAAGCAAAACAGCAAGCTGGACAGATAAGATTCCTTTTTGTGATGAGCTAGCAAATTTTCCTTGGTCTTCATTAAGCTTTGTGTTAATGAACAGGTAGAGAACTTATTAGAACAGTAATTCTACTGTAGTGGTAAAGTATGATAACTATATCCAAAAGCTCATCTGTATAATGAGGGGTAGGAGGGAGAAATTGATGTAAAATATAGCTATGTGAGCACATTTCAAATGAGTCATTATGTCTCTGCTTACAACTCAGCTATGGGAGGCTTGGACTAATGGCTCACTATAGAATAGTGCTCTGTTAGACAATACATACAATCACTAAATATTCACACCACCCCAGCAGCACAATCCAAGTGGAAATTCTGGGCTGGCAAGCCAGATTCTTAGTTATTCTCTCTACAGATTTAGACCTCTTGCACTGTACAGTTTAGCACAAAACACTGACAATAGGTCATCTGGAAAAGCAACAGTGATTTCCAGTTCATTCCGAGCATTCTTGTGTACTATGGTAACAAATAGACTAGGAATGACAGAATTATTCTATTATGTACTAGATAGAAAAAAAACCCTAAAAGGCCAATAAAATTAACTTACATATTTTGAATCAGTAAGTTTTATAAAATAATTAACAGCTGACTATTTCCTATGGTAATAAGCATAAAGTTATTATCTGATAGCTGCAGTGAAATTTTACCATGAAAACTTTTTACAAATTATAGCTTTGTGGAGTAAGCATTTCAATTCTCAAAGTTGGTTCAACAACTGGCTCTAATGATACATAGACATTTTATCAGCTACTCAAATGCAAAGGACATTTTATTTTTCATGTCAACGAGGACATGCAGTTAAAAAATATATTAAACACCACATTGGTCAAAACTCTGAGTAATTTTAATTTAAAGCCAAAGTGAAAGTGTATATTAAAGAATGTCCTGTTTATCTTCTGCATGGTTTGAAAAGACAAGAAAGAATCACACAAGACAAAATAGGTAACAGCAGCCTTCCCCCATAACTGCTCTAATTTTGAGAGAGAATTTTTGTGGCCCTGGATCCATCAGTGTTTTTATAACTCCTGCAGCTTCAGTCCTCACAGCATTTCCTCATCACAAATTCACTGGACTTCCTGACATCTTTCATTCACTGTCCCTCCCCACAAAGGATCTCATGGTAAAATCCTCACACCAGTAAAGTCACTAGCAGTTCTGCAACTGATGAAATGGGGCAGGATTACATCCCTAGAGGTTTTGTTATTCTAATGTCAAATGATGACAGACAGTTTAGGTTGAATTCCAAAGATCATACCCTTAATCTATCCCTGGAAGTTGGTTCAAACAAATCTGATCATCAGAACTACCCCACGATTTGGTCCAAGGCAATGGCAGCAAGTAAAGGGATAGCCTTATCTGGCTGTAAGATGACCCAACATAAACCTTCTGGACATTTGTCCATTGTTTACCATTTTTAGAAGAAAGTTATAACTGGTTATAAACTAAGCCATTGGCTTGTCTAACTGTTACTATGAATTATCACCCTTCTGCAGACATTTGAGGCAGAACTATTTAACTAAGTGAAATGGCAAAAGAGAGTGTGTGTAGACTCATGCAGAGGGTATTACAAGGAACATCCCAACTTTGTTGAAATAGCTATTTAATAGGTAAGATTTCCCACTTCTCTGGGGTATCATAGGAAAACTATATCCAATCAAATTTCTTTCAGAAAGAATAACAAGTTTAAGCAGGTAATACTAGCTTCTCTCACAGGACAGACCATACAGGTGTTTCACAGAGATGCTAGGGTTTACAGTTTCAAAAGGACAAACAGGAGCACCAGCGAGCATGTGCAGAGTCTGCCAAGTCAGTCTTTGAACATGCACACCCTAGCAGCACACATGCAAAAAAGTACCCAAGAGTGAGCTTCCACTTTATAAGTGTTGTGGGCAATGCAAGAGTGAAGCTGCATGTCCATTTCAACAGTATGCTGACATCTGACAAATGTGGCCCATGGAGCAGCATTCTGCTCAGGATCTGATGTAGGCTCCTCTTACATGCATATTATCTGTCTTAATAAAAAATAAAATAAAACCATGCAGCATTTTGGGAGAGGCAGAAACAAGCACCCTGCAGATCAGTTGCACAATAGGTGCCTGTACTCCTGAACCTTGAATCCTTCTCGTTTCAGCAAAATACTCTGAAGTCAAGCTGCATACGGAGTGAGAGGGACCCACTGTGGTCACATGAAAGAATGTCAGGGTCCTGTTTCCACCCTTTCTCATTTGTATCAACCTTTATCTTTTCTGTCTGAACTAAGCTGACTGGAGGAGTGTGATTCAGAGTACTCCTCTCTAGCTGACATAAGTTATCTCCTGCCCTAAAGGCAAAAGCATCAAAAACAAGGACATTTTCTTGCAATGTTGTTTCAATATTCTGTTTCTGGACTGTTCTTCCTAAGCAATTTCTGTTTCTCCGTGTACAACTCTTTCAGCATTTCTGAGAGAACCTGAGCTCATGGGGAGGCAGGAAGCATTGCCTTTGCTTCAAGTCACTTGCCTGCTGCCATACTACTTCAGGAGGCAGCAAGGCTTTTGATAGGGGCTGTGACTTGTACAACCACCTCACAAGGATTTCTTAGCATCCCAACCAGAAGGGGGATAGAGGAGGAAGCATCTATTGAGGTCTTCACTATCAGCACAAGAAAACAAACAGGGCAAATACTTCAGGAATTGCCAGACTTCTAACATCAAACTGACACTGATGATGGCACAAGTCAAAGAGTCTTACACAATACAGACAATCTTTTTCAGATACTTCTGAAACCCAATTACCCTTGCTGCTGTCTCTGGCTTCTACAATGAATGCCAGCACACTGGTGTTTCCCCTGTGGGCTACACCTCCCTGTCTAATTTTTCCTCTATCTACATCAGCACCCTCTCTTCCTACATCAGCTTCCTTTACTGCGTCTTGGAACAAACTGCAGTATTCTGCAGTAGTGGTTGAACAGTACAATATTATTAACTGAGATAACTCCTTACCGTATTGTGAACTCAGAATACCATTCTGCTGTACAGGACCTTAAGTCACATTCATGAAAAAATGTGGAGAGAGCAACAAAGTGGAAATAAGCAAGTTATGCATAAATCCACTGCAAGTCCTACAGGGAACGACACAATGATCCAAGGTCCCGGTGGGAAGAAAAACAATTTTGAGAACTTTTTCCTCAGTTTCTAGTACATCAGTCATTCATGCAGGTGGGGTTTACCCTTTGTAGAACATGCAGGCAGTTAGGACACATGGATATTTGAGAAACACCAAAATCTACAGCTGTCTGCACACAGGCCTGTACCTCTGTACCTGTTCAATCTCCTGTGAACCTCCCCTTGCTGTGTCAGCAGGGATCTGATGGACCTTTGCTCACATTCACGCTGTCCCTTGCTGGATGCAGCCCCTAAAGTATCGTAATCCAGATTTTCAAAAGCAAAGAGTGATTTGAGAAGCACAAGTCAGAGACATTTCAGAAGTTAAGTTCCCAGGGCATTAGAAAATTGGGTCCCTTTAAACCATCCCAAACTGAGGACCCTACTTGACTGCCCAGAACAAATGGATCACAAGCTTCTTTCTCTTCCAGATGCCAACACAAGTATGAAGACTGTAGAACAACTCTGGAATTTTGAGAAATTAAGCCCCATCAACCATGTCCAGGAACTCTGCCCTTGGAAAAATTTCTGCTTGTCATGGACTCACGAAGACTCCCCCATCATGCCATGCAGAAATAAGCTATGTGCCCTAAATTGAGCTTTCTTATAACAGATATCTGTCTCCAGTGAAAATGCTGGATTAGGAACTCTAATTTTAGTGCAATGATCTGTGTCACACTTAAAAAAACAACAAAAACAACAAACCCTTCCTAACTGCCGATCTAATGCCTGCCTCTATTTGTCCCATTAACTCAAGGCATGTACATTTAGTTATTTTATCACTTACTAGGTCTCCATATAGCTTGGAGATTAAATGTAGTCAGTAATTTCTTCAACTGAAAGTAAAGGGTTGGAAAAAACAACTTTGAAGGAAGGGTTTATAATTAAGATAAGACTGAGTTTATGAGTACTTGACACTTTCCTTTTAAAGTGCTAATATCAAGAAGATGATGACTGGTATTTATTTTCAAGCTCTCTCTCCATTTCCAGGGTATCTTTGTTAAAATATATTTTCTTGTTTCTTTCAGGTTCTTGTATTTCTTTCCAGAGACGTGGTGAGGGATGGATAGCCCAGCAGAGACTTCAAGCCTGCTACTCAATTCTTCCCTGGAAGCTTCAGAGCAATGTGGCAAAGAGACCCACACGGAGAACATCCTTTTTGCAACTTTTTATCTTCTGGATTTCATCCTGGCTCTTGTTGGCAATGCTCTGGCTCTCTGGCTCTTCATCCGGGACCAGAAGTCAGGTACTCCAGCCAACATCTTCCTGATGCATCTTGCTGTTGCTGACCTGTCTTTTGTGCTGATACTTCCCACCCGGGTGGTATACCATTTTTCTGGCAATCACTGGCCATTTGGTGAGATCCCATGCAGACTTACTGGTTTCCTCTTTTATCTCAACATGTATGCCAGCATCTACTTTCTCATGTGCATCAGTGTTGACCGCTTCCTAGCCATTGTGCATCCTGTGAAGTCCATTAAACTCCGCAGGTCACTCTATGCTCACTTAGCATGTGCCTTTCTATGGGCTATAGTTGCTGTTGCAATGGCACCTCTGTTGGTCAGTGTGCAGACAGCCCAGATGAATAATACAACTGTCTGCCTGCAACTTTATAGAGAAAAGGCATCACACCACGCTCTTGTATCCTTGGCAGTGGCATTCACCTTTCCATTTGTTACTACAGTGACCTGCTACTTATTAATCATCCGCAGCCTGAAAAGTGGCAACAGAGTTGAGAAGCACCTGAAGGAAAAAGCCATCAAGATGATCATCATGGTTCTAATGATCTTCCTGGTCTGTTTTGTACCCTATCATGTCAATCGCTACATTTATATTCTCCATTATGATGGCACCAAGACTTCCTGTGAAACTCAGCGAATCCTGGCTCTAAATAACCGTGTCACTTCTTGCCTCACTAGCCTGAATGGTGCCCTTGACCCAGTCATGTATTTCTTTGTAGCTGAGAAGTTTCGTGAAGCCTTATGCAGCTTGTTCTGTGGCAAAAAGGCTGTAATGTTGCCTCAGACTTATGAAGGAAAGACAAATGAGAGCTCACTAAGCGCTAAGTCTGAACTGTGAGCAAGTGAATACATTTGCTTTCACTTTCAGATCCAAGAACCCTTTTTTTCACCCAAACCAGCTAAGAGATTTTTTAGTGTGAAAGCCAACAAAGACAAATGATGCTATACCTAGGGTGAGTCTCCTCCTCCTCAAACTCTGAGAATCAGTTCATCCATTTGAATGTAGCTAAAACGAGCAAAGGCTAATTTCCTAGAAAAGATGTGTTGCATTCTCAGTAAATCGTAAGACATGAAACCAACCAATGTTTGATTACTTCATGGTAGGAGCGGGAAGCAAGAAATTAGTCAAATCCCAATTTCTTCACCTAAAAGACAACACACTTCAGCTGGATTCAAGCAAACACAGACCACACCAAGAAATAAGCCAATTAGCTTCACAGCCCTAAGATATAGCTTCTGATCTTTTCCCTGCACAACCTAGAAACCCTTCTCTGAAATCTAATGTTATTCTCACTGTGGAGGTTTTTTTGAGGTGGCAGAGGGTAAAGCATGCCTAGATCTACTGTGTAGAAATTCACAGAGAGTTTGGAATAGAGTGGATAAGGGATTCCTGTAAAACAGGAAGAAGGAAAAACCTTTGATGGGACCAGCCAGGGGCCAGAATTAAGGGGAGACATCTACAGTTTCCAAACTAAAGTGGTCTAAGATAAAAAAGCCTCATCTGTGCAGAGCATTCGGCCATATACAGTAAAAGAAAAATCACAGTATTATTTCTACTTGTCCTTAGAATGGTGGGCCATGGTCCCATTAGCTGTGTGCACCAACAGGTTTGGCAGCATTTTCTAAACTAGTTTTGTTATACAGTCTTCTATGAATTATTGCTGCCTGAAATGATCACAGTATGATAATGATACCATCACAGAAGAAATTATGAGATGCTGATCAAGAAAACTGCAAATCAAGGGAAGCTTTATTTCCTTTTAGTAAATGCTGAACCTGAAACTCTGAATTTCTGCACAAAAGTTAACCAAGAAGAAAATAGGCAGGTGTGCTGAAGAAGTGTAACACAGCCCACCTTGGAGGAGGCTCAAAGATTTTTAAAGGTATTTTATAATTATTTACATTCTACTTCATATATTTTGGCTCTTCAAACATTTTGTCTGCTACAGATAATTGCTAACCTATGTTAGCTTCACTACCCTCCCTACAATAAACTACTCCCAGTGGAATGAACCCAGAAAGAAAGCAGGCAAGGAAGGGGAGATAATGAAGTACAAGCTGACAGAACAGAAGAACCCACAAGGAACTGTATTATGCCAATCATGTTTCCCTGGAAAGATGGGAACTGCATTAAGACATACAACAGTCCAATCATATTTACACATACTTTTCATGTCATTAGGAGAAACTCCATGCATCTTGCAGAGTTTGGATCCTAAATTACAAAGTCAAACAGCTTTGTATTGTAGTTGATAGTTGCTGGAATCCTGACTGCTTCCTCAGAAGATAGAATCATAGGAAGTTAGGGTTGGAAGGGACCTCAGGAGATCATCTAGTCCAGCCCCCTGCTCAAAGCAGAACCATTCCCAACTAGATCATGCCAGCCACAGCTTTGTCTACCTGGGTTTTGAAGACCTCCAAGGATGGAGCTTCCACTTCTCTGAGTAACCTGTTCTAGTGTTTGACTACCCTCCTAGCAAGAAAATTCTTCTTAATATCTAACCTAAACTTCCCTTGCTGCAACTCGAGACTGTTGCTCCTTGTTGTGTCATCTGCCATGACTGAGATACCCTGAACTGCTCACAGATACTATGCTGACTGGACAAAGGAATAAACCAGGGAGCTGAAAAGAAAAACCAAGGACTTGACTTCCGGAAGGCAGGATGTTGGATTTGTGGAGGACTACTTTACAGAGAAGGAATTACAGAGGTCTCCTTGCTGGACAAGGCGCAGCTGCAACCTGCTCCTTCCATTTCCCAATTTGGTTGCCTCTTAGGCATGACCATTTCCCTTCAATGACTCTTCCAGATCCTGCTGGACAGACATATGAATCCTGAAGCTAGATTAGAATTCTGCAGCATAGTAAGCTACAAGTGCCTAGCTCTGTTCTTACCATGATGTACTTTTGTGCATGTTTCCTGCCTTGTTTATATTTATCTTGTCAATTTTTAAACAAAATTTTCTGGGATGTTTGTTTGTACATTTTCACATCTGTAAAATGAATAATTTCAAACAGCCAGTGAAGACACAGTCTTTAGTGAACACAGATTCCCTCTTAGTATTTTGCTAAGTGCTCAGGAGTCCTGCCTATGGCTGCAGTAGGACAGCTCCCTTTTGTCCTTCACCTGCTACCCAACCCTCTGCACAGAATCCTTCCCTTTGCCCATCAGTCTCCTGCCTCTTCCTGACTCTATCCTGAATCTATTGGTTTCTGTCTTCTGTCTCTCCTTGCATTTTCCTGGATGAGGAAAACCCTAACCTTTTCTTTCCATTTTCTCACTTTTTAACCAATGTCTGGCTCAGAGTTCATTTTATTTCCTTAACAGTACTTCTGCTCTCACATTCACAGTCAACTGTCAGGACCCCAACAGCTCCTGCTCTCCCTTACCTGCCAGCATTCTTCACAAAGCCCAGGTCAGCAAGTGCCACATCACAGAGCTCACAACGGAAGCAATCTGGGTGCCAGTTATTGTTCATTGCCTTGATCACTCGTCCAATAATGAACTCACCTTGGAAAGGAAAATACAGCCCTTAGACACAAGCAAGAACTTTTCAGCAAGAATCCTTCCCCAGCCCATTGCTGTTCCCTTTTAATGTCCCAGGGCCTTGTATACACTGACTCCAAAAACATCATTCCATCCCAGGTGTCCAATATCAAAAACATGGCTTCCTTGTTGCTCACTGCTCAACTTCTGTTTCTGTTCAGAGATCCCCCTCTTCAAAGTGATCCGTGGGTTAGAATTTTTATTACCATAAAGGAATAATCCCTTCCCCCTGACATCCACCAAAGCAAAAAGAGAGGCTGGACAGATTTGCATGTGGATATCTTACCACATTCCCCGCAGCAAGGTGCAAACAGCATCTGGAAATCATGTTCACAATACTTCCGACCTTCAAACTGTAAACAAAACAAAGGAGAGAAAGCCCTGGGTAAATCACAAACTACCCGCAAGAAAAATTAAAATGGTATTATTAGTGTTTGCATGTTTGTAAAGGTCCATAACTCCCCCTCTCAGTTGTTTACTATTTCCTTGAAAAGAAATCCTTAGGAAATGAAACTTTCCATATTTACACTCAGTCCCATACTGACTTTTCATGGAAAGTGGAGTTAAATCAGCAAGGGTATTTTTATGTTAGGCAAAAGATATAGCAGAAAAGACCACCACATACAACCCCACTTTTCCATGATTGGTTATTTCTATGCTTTTATTTTATGTTAACATAATTTAAAAAATAAGCTGTACCACAATCATACCCCAGAAAGATGTACCTCTGTGACCTAATGGTCACTGCCCATTCACCTTTAACAGCGATGTCTGAACTAGCCCTGAAAGATCTTTATGTACTGGCTAGGGAAAGGCACAAAAGCACTGAAGTGATTGAATCTGTAGTGTACTGAATTCGATTCCCACAGTGCCAATAAGAGAGAACGATGTTCACTAAGCATCACCCTCTATCAGATTTAAGGAACAAGTCTGATAACTGTCTGCAGCTTCCCAGATGCAACCACCTCACCTCATAGAAGAGTCCATCTGGGAACTGTCGAAAACACTGAGCGCAGACAAAGCAGTTCTCATGATAAAGCTCCCCATTGCTGTTCACAATCCTCTCTGCAGGATCGAAGCGAGCCTGGCAGCGTTCACACACTGCATTTGCAAGGGCATCCGACATATTACTGGGGGGGAATAAAGGCAAGAATCAGAACACAAGCAATAGCACCGATAGTCATATGGACACGGATACACCACAGATAGTCATATGAACATGGATACACCACATTTGTTAACACCAGGAATTTTCTCCTTAGTTTTGTTTTACTTAAAAAGAAAAATAAAATAATTTCAAAAAAGAAAGATTATTCAGTATTATATATATCATATGTATATGACCTACATATTATATAGCTCTCACCTGAGAACAGGTGAGAGCCATATAATAATTTGCAGACGCATGTGAAGTTTTCATTTATTGGGCACTTCTGATGGCTCCACTTTCCCCTTGCACACCAATCCATGTCCTAACAAATTGCACCAGTCAGACTACAGACACTACAGACGCACTGTGTAAAGTAATGAGGAAAAGCAACACTAAGACACACCTTGCAGAAAATGGTTTGCTTTTCTTTTCCTCAAATATGAACTGTTTCACCCTCTTTCAAAATAAGACAACCTTGCCAGTGAAATGGCAGGAATGGATTCAGTCCAGGTTTTTCATGTATTAAAATGTCACAGCTTTAGAATTCTGTTAGTCCTCATTCCTCTGAAGGGCTGGGAAAGGGAACTAAGAATGAAACAGGAGGGGAAGAGTTCCGGTTTCTTAATGGGAGCAGCTCTGTCTTAAATTCCAGAATGCCTCTAAGTATCATGCTTTAATATTGTGGCATTTTATGCACAGGCAAGTTATTTCATGCCATTCTTAAATTGTTTTAAGGCTCCCCCAAGCTTTGTGTTGCTGGACTGGAAGTACTTTTACAGCTGGATGGATTTAAAGATAATCTCAATATTTTTAAGAATCTCAAACATTTATACAATAGTTTCCCTGGGGTACAAGATGCATGCACAAAATGTGTGAGGAATCAGTTGGTATACACTGCTCAAATCAATACTTGTTCACTACGAGCAACTACACCCCAGGGAATATATGCAGAAAAATTCAAAATTATGAACAGAAAAATTCAAAATTATGCAAAATTAATTACTTTGTTTTTTTGTACAAATTAAACTAAATATAACACTATTTGAACCTTTAGAAATATATGCAGGTACTTTGTATGGTTGGGGGGTGGATGTGTGAAGGTGTGGGGAGGTATGCATAGGGTTCGGGGATGGGTGTGGGGGGGTTGTGAAGAAGTGTGGGTGTATGTGTGTGGGGGGGTTGTAGGTGGGTGTGGGCCCCCCCATACATTTCCCTCCCATGGCGCACAGCCCACACACCATCAGACCAGGCCGGCCCTCCACATGGGGCTCCCAGCACTCCAGCGGGAAGCTGCACACAAAGGCACAGTCACACACCATCGGGCTGGGCAGACTCTGTGCCTTTGCGTGCAGCTTCCCACTAGAGTGCTGGAAGCCCCATGTGGAGACACAGCTGGTCAGCCCGGCTCAATGGCGCACAGCCCATACCCAGCCACAAACCCCACTCACCCACATGCCCACCCACAAACCCCACACCCACCCCTCTGTCCTGCAGACAGGAGCTCCCCTCATCACTTACCCAGCTGTCCAGTCGCATGCGTCTGTGCCTCCATATCATGGAGGTGGAGGCACAGAGCCCACCAAGGTTAAATTATGCAAAATTATGCAATTATGCATGGCCACGCCTTATGTGCAAAATTGCGTGAGCGCATAATTCCCCAGGGTATAATACGCTACCTCCTTTTCTTCCCCACTTTGTGATGTTAGTTCATCATATACTTGGTACATAGCTTAAAGTGAAGGTCATAGTCATGGCAGTCCTGTTTTTCCTCAAAGGCAGGAAGTCAGGCTCTGCAACTGCACTAAACAAATAGATTACTTTTGTTTATATTATTCTACTGTGTCATTTTGCTTTCCATGACTGTTTAAGTAATTAAGCAACTAATCAGCATATCCCAGTAGCAAGCTTCTTATCCTCCGATCAGTCTAGGTCAGTGCTTCCCAAACCTTTCCTCAGCGTGACCCCATTTTTGGCCCCATTTCCTCAGCATGGCTCCTCACTCCCAGCCCACAGCCTTTCACCCCTGCAACCCCATCCACTGATGTTGCAACCCCATTTGGGGGTCGCAACCGACACTTTGGGAACCACTGGTCTATGTGCTCAGAGAAACACATAC